TCTGTCAAAATAGATATTTTAGGTGTTGAGGTGACCTTTTGAGTGTATCTGAGATTAATATAAGTACTAACCAACAACACGAGATACTTATGTAAACTCAGAGTTTGTTTTCTATTTTCTCTTGACTCATGTTTAATGATGATACCATTTTTAACCAAAGGTTAAAGGTGACCATATCTCGTCTCCCGTGGAAAAAACAAAACAAAACAAAACATTGATTATGTCAGAAAAGGGAAATCTTCTGGAGTGCATGAGGTATGTTCTCATCTTGCAAAGCAAATCCAGGTTGTGGTAAGAGAGAAAACACATGTTTGACCAGTTGCTCCCCTCTCTGACTCCACTGCCACAAATCACCGCTCGTCATGAAAAACTGGTGTGAACTGTCTAGTTCCCATGGGAGCAACTTTCCCATGACTTTGGCTGACCAAGCTTACATTTCAAACATGAAACTATTGCTAAATAACTCTCTCCAGAACAACCTCTAGACATCCCCAAAACAAACTGTAAAAGTGACAAACTAACTTCATGTGTAAGAACACCAAAAGTGCAAAGTGAACATCTTACCTGCACATTGGTGCTATGTTTTCTCACACTCCTGCTTCTCCCTTCTGCCTCTGCATTCTCGCTGCCTTCACACCCCCTCTAAGCAAGGCAAGGGAGGGAAATGCAGACACTTTCCTCATCCTCCTCCCCCTTCTTTCTCCCAAACAACAGCAGTAATCCCAAACGCGTGCCAGAAAGCGCTACTGTGTATGTGCATGCACGTCTGCACAACTTCAGAACCCATCCAGGATGCACTTTTTATACTGCTGGCGCTGGTTTCCCCTCCCCAACCCCTCCACCACCCCAACCAGTCAACTGCCAAGAAAATTTTGAAACACGCTATATAAGGCCAAGAAAGTGGCCAGGGGCTCTTTAAGGTTCCTGTACCCAAATTAAGCGAGCAAAAGGCATTCAGGGGGCAGCAACTGTTGTCCTTTACTGTTTTTCGCCTCACTTTTTATTTCTTCTCATAGCCCTCATGGATGTTGCTGAAACATAAGATTAAAAATAAAAAAGTTGTTGGACTTGTTTTGTTACTGGAGAAAATGAAAACTACAGCAATTCAAATTTATTGTGTTGGGGAAAACTCTCACACTAAAATGTTAGCTCAAGATTGTATTGTATTGTATGATATTATTGTATTGTATTGCATAATATTATTATATTGTATGATATTATTGTATTGTATGATATTATTGTATTGTATTTTATAATATTATTGTATTGTATTGTATGATATTATTGTATTGTATTTTATAATATTATTGTATTGTATGATATTATTGTATTGTATTGTACTTTGTATTATATTATTATATTGTATTGTATGATATTATTGTATTGTATGATATTATTATATTGTATGCTATTATTTTATTGTATTGTATGATATTATTGTATTGCATGATATTTTATTGTATGATATTATTGTATTGTATGATATTATTGTATTGTATGATATTATTGTCTTGTACTGTATGATATTATTATATTGTATTGTATGATATTATTGTAGGGGCAGCACGGTGGCGCAACTGGTAGAGCTGCTGCCTCTCAGCAAGCAGGTCCCTGGTTCAAACCCCGGTCCAGGGGCCTTTCTGGGTGGAGTTTGCATGTTCTCTCCGTGCATGCGTGGGTTTTCTCCGGGTACTCCGGTTTCCTCCCACAGTCCAAAAACATGCATGTTAGGCTGACTGGTAACTCTAAATTGTCCCTAGGTGTGAGTGAGACAGTGAATGGTTGTTTGTCTCGTTTGTCTCTGTGTGGCCCTGTGATGGACTTGCGACCCGTCCAGGGTGTACCCCGCCCCTCGCACAGTGATTGCTGGACATGGGCACCAGCGACCCCCGTGACCCAAAATGGAATAAGCGGGTAAAGAAAATGGATGGATGGATGATATTATTGTATTGTATGATATTATTATATTGTATTGTATGATATTATTGTATTTATTGTAATTACATACAGTTGTATTGTAATTATTGATGTAGAATGTGGCAGCTATCTTCAATAGGTTGACTCCAAATCTCGGATGTAAATACACTGATAACTTTCTGTAAGTTGTTTTTTTTTTTTTTCAAAATCATTCTGGTGGTTCATTCAACAACAAAAACACAAACAATATGGGCCAAAACATTATCGTCACCTGCCTTCGGCAGCAGGCGATAATGATGGGTTCTCCAGATGTTCTAGCTCTAGATGATGCATTTCTGCATCGATGTTAACTGCTGCCTTATCAGATTTATGCAAAATTTCTTTCATTAAATAAAGCAAATGAAATACATAGAATGATCATTCATATATAATAAAAACACAACTAAATATCAGGTGTCTTGAAACTTTCCGAATAAATTCACTCATTTATTTCAGAATTTACTGTTCCTCAATGTGGTAGTTCCCTTCTTCAAAAAGAGGGACCG